CTTTCGTGACTAAGCGGCGTGATGGGCTGATTCAGCCTTTATGACGGTTTAGTTACCCTCTTGTGGGCCGTTGTCTGGCACCAGGTCCGCTACGGCACTTTGCAGTGTGCAGCTCACACCTGACGTAGCTTTTTGCATCGGTAAGTCCCCTGTAGTTCCGTATTTACACGTGATGTTCCGTGCAGGTGCTGTTAGTGCCCTGAGCCGCAAGCTACGATGTAGCACAGGGGGACAGTAGCTGGATTCGTTCACCTTGTTAGGAGCTGATTGGACCCAGGTGAGGACAGTTTCTGTAAGGGGGAGGCCTCTCATGATCTTCATTTCTACGTTAATGCAGGTAATTCAGGCGCTCTAGCCAACTGCCTGTTCTGCGTGTAACTAAACCTCTGCATGTTTCATTCTGCTCGTATACAATTAGATTTACAATAATCTGACATATGTGGTTTTTATTTTTTAATATATTTTAAATTTAGTGCAGTTGTTGTTTATGCATGATATATATTTTTCTCATGACTTTGTTTGGGCCCCTAACACCCCTGTAGGTTGCATAAGTCTGGATCCAGCACTGGTTACGATGGTGTCACAGACCCGCACTATGTTTTTCGGGGCTCGTCCTGGAGCTGGCGGCTGCTTTGCCACCCCTTCTGCCCCCCCTCCCCCCCACAAGTGTCAAGCGTGTTGCTGTTCAGCGCGGTCGCTTGACCTGCTAGGAAGTAGCCGTGCTGTAAATCACCGCTCCGCTCACCATGCTGGCCCTCGTCTTGCAGCATGGCATCGCCCCCCAGCCGTTTTCAGGACCGGTGGGTTTTAAGAACCATGAAGCTCACCCCGAGGTCAGCATTGCTCATGGCCCCCACATTTCCTGACTTCTCACTCTGCCCTTCACACCCCCTCAGTCTTGTAGGGGGGCCTTTTCATGAAATTAGACTCGCTTGTGTTGCACTAGCTCAACCGAATCATGACAGTATGTGGGGTATTTCAGGACGTAAAAGGCTGCAAAAGATCAATATTGACCGGTTTGTAGAAAACAAGATTTAATGTGATTTTTAAACCGGCTTTAGTGATTTTAGAGCTCATCGGTCACAGCGACCAAGAAATGCTTCTGAGTGACCGAGTAACCAATTTTCAGCATTCAATTTTTCTTCAATTTGAAGAAAAACCCTGTAAATTTCCACCCAAAAGTACTATAACTTATTTAGAAGTGTCAAGGCAGTGTGGAACACGGTCAGCCGCTCCTGCTGTCGATGGCATCTAGGCACTTTCGGAGTTCCTTCTCCACAAGTTGCCGCGGTCTTCTCCCTTGTGATCCGCACCGTTGTCGTGCCCGTCCCGATCTGCCCTGCTGATATGTCGTTCCAGACACAACCGTTGATCAAAAAAACAAGCGACACCAGGGGGAAATGCGTGTCACTGTGGTTACCGCACGCTCAGACACAGAGCACGACCTGTTCTTTTAATATAACTGGCGCAGCCTTATCATTTGCATTTGAGTTATATATAGACACGTTCTTTTGACCGCAGAGCATCGTGTCAATCACGTTGGCTGCTTCCTTCTGGCTTCCTGCAGCCTGATCTTCACTCAGAGCTTCCTCGTCCACAGGGGGTGTGTCGGAACCTGAGTCCTGTCGCCCGTGACAGAGCTTTTCCTGTACAGAGTCACTAACATTTGCGAGAGTCCCCTTGTAACATGAGTGACCTTACTGAGGTAGAAGTGTAGATGTTTGGGAGCAGACTTTAACAAGGACAAACAGGGGAAAGGCACTTAATGAATCACAGTTTGGTGTAGCTGCTCCCTTAATGCCCCCCCCCCCCGAGTGAGATGGGAGCTAGAGGTTTTTTTTATGCTATGAAAGTGCAGACACAAGATTCAAAATAATGGATCCAGAACAGACTCCTTTCAGAATCAGCCAGTAAATGACTTAAATACACTACATATACCCCCAGGGTTACGATGGGGTTACGTTCCGATAAATATATCGTAATGTGAAAATATCGTTATGCGAAAATTCATTTTAATACAGTACACCTAACCTAACTAACATCATAGCCTAGCCTAGCCTACCATAAACATGCTTAGAACACTTACATAAACCTACAGTTGGCAAAATGATTAACACAAAGCCTATCTGATAATAAAGTGTTGAATATCTCATGTAATTTATTGAATAATCACACCCATCGTAAAGAAATATTGTGACAGGGACCATCGTAAGCTGGGTCTGTACCTTCACCTTCTGCCCATGACATTGTTTCAATGCTGCAGAACAGCTTATCTGTTGGATGTTAATGCTTCCTGAATCAATGTGAAATAGGCATGAACCAGTTGTGGGACTGGGGCCCATGTTCCAGGCCTGCTTGGGTGTCATGAAAGTTTCTGGACCAGTGCTGAGGGGTGGGAGGTGACTGCATTATCTGGGCTTACAATGGCTCTTCTGTGGTCCTTCCAGAAGCTGAGGGGACCTCCTTGCCGATAAAGAATCCTGGTGGGCTTCGTGTTGTATTTCTTGCTATCGCTTTTTCGTTTTTTTACCCTGGGAGGTTTGATATGCAGTTTTAATCCTTGTCTTCCTGGTTGACCTTGTCCAGGATCCTCACTTTCCTCACTGAAGATAGCAGGGGGATGGAAATTAATCCCCAATCTTCTGGATCTACCCCAGAATATTGTGGCCCAACAGGTCCTTCACTGGACACCCCAAGAAGGCCCAGCAAGAAGAAGGTTGTGGAGCTGCAGTAGCCCACAGCCACCTGAGAACGGAGATGATAGGCACTCCATGGTCTCCCTGCAGATCCGAGATGTAAAAGGTTTAAAGATTTGGGGCAGGGCTACACAGAGAGACATGCCTGTCCTTCTGCCCACAGTGCCTTCATTTCCATCAGAAAATGAGGCCAAGCCATTTATGGCTTTAGCAGACGTCCGAGTGACTCTTGTTTGATGTCAAGCCAGATAATTCTCCATCCCCCACCCAAAAATTTTATCAATCTGTAACAGAAACAGGCTAAATAGCATAAGCATACAATGAGGTGTTGAGCACAAGCAGGGCCGACTCCATCCCTTGAGTCTTAACGACCTCGTTCTTCTTGTAGTTTATGATTTGGTTGTGGAAAAAAAAGCAATGGGGCTGTCAATGCTTCTTACATTTTACTGACACACAAATTGCCTACGTTTCCCATGGGGCTTTGGGCCGCCTGCTCAGATTGGATAGGGTTATCTCTGCGGTTGATGTGACGGTGTGACAGGCAGTGAGTTACCATGGGGAAAATACAGCTTGCAACATCCTCCCCCCCAAGGGTCCTGCTTTCCACCTGTGCCTCTGGCCTGTGCAGCAGTCTGTCTCCCGGGATGGGGGGGGAGCAGGGTTCATGGCACGGTGAGCTGTCTATCTAACCCCCCTCCGCCCCTCAGGCCCCCAGTTTATCCACTTATTTGGCTAACCCTGCCCTGAACTCGCACAGTCCCAGCCTCCCTGCACCCGCTCCCCCCTTTCCAGTGCACATGCACTTGGGTCCCCACCAGCTCCCAAGGCCCAAGACAGCCCCCCCACCCTCGAGGAGGCCTCTGTGCTCGGGTCCATGACACATTTTCCGTTTCGCAACGGAGCTCTCTCGGATTAAGCTAGAGCCTCAGAAGGAGGTTACTTTTCCAAGTACCTCCCCCCACTGAAGTTAAAACGGATAAGTACATCCAAAGTTTAAAGTTTCGACATATTCCCTTGTTTCCCCTTCCCCCACCCCCCAGTCCCACAGAGGGGTCACCTGCTGGGTCACATTGCTGTCCTCGCTCAAAGGGTGAACATTGGTGGACACCAGGATTTACAGTTTGCTGACGTTCCAGAGCTCCTTGCCAACGTGTCCTAGTCCTACATCTATGTGCCAGTTGTCCACGTTTGTCTCGAGGAACTTCTGCACCTGCTCATATGTGGAACGCAACCCCAAGTCTTCTTTGATCAAGCTTCGTCAGACATCCAGCGCATCCAGCGAGTCTGCAGATCATTCAAAACCAACATCCTTGTCGTCCATGTACTTGAAGATCTTCCCGGAGAGTCATCACGGCCGTTTTCGAAATGCATGAATCACATGCGATCAGCAAAGCTGTTCTGCGCTGTTTATTTACATCCCAAAAAAAGAAAAGGAAAAATCTGTTCAGGGTGTTGCAAAGAACTGGAATATCTACGCCAAAACATTCGCTTTGAAAAAATCACAGGCCTACGGGGAATGTGCTGGACACTTTTAGGGTTTTTTTAGATTTGAGAGCTTAAAGGGGAAGCACAAAGCTGTGATTTACCGCCGCTGGTTCGCCGGAGGACAAGGCCTGCCGCATTTTCCGGCAAACAAATGCTGACTTTCCTGTCCATTGCCCCCATTACCCCCTTTGCCGTTTTTATGACTTCATTGGCAGGAGGCTCCCCGCGTTTCTCCCTCGCTTCCTGCCTTTGAAGATAACACATCTTCAGCTTAATAAGGTCACCTTTTGGTGTTAGGCCGCTGAGGTGCAGGCCTGGCCCCAAAAGAATGCTAACAGCCTTTAAAGCAGCTAATGTTAAACAGGCATCCTTCCCCGTCTTTGCCTTATTTTCAGCCCGAGTAACAGTGGTGATTGATCTTACGGACGGCTGTTTTACACAGCAAGAAAAAAGTCAAGTCAATGAAATCTATTTCCTTTTCTTCAATCACGTTTCATACTTAAATACAAATCTCTTAGTCATTGTAAAATTCTCCCAATCCTATCAAAGTCTAAGTGTCACACATGTGACACCATCTCTTACTTATTTCATTTATCATAATACTGCTGTTGTGTTTCCTGCCTTATTCCAACAAGCAGTACCAATTTTCAGTGTTAAATGACTAAACTGGGGTCATGGTGACCCAAAACTGCGGGGCGCGCAGATCTGAAGGCTGGGTGCTCTCTGGATGGGATGCCAAGCCGTTCTCTGCATGTTTTCAAGTGCCTCTAAAAATGCTTTCATTATCATACCCTAAGTGACATAGACACATACAATGCACCTCAGTAAACAAATTTTATTGAGTCAAATCATAGATTACAGGACAGGCATGTCACAGAACAAATCTTAATGTTTCCCTCAATACCATAATAAACCCCTGCTTTTAAAAAAGCCCTCTTCTGCAATGTTTACAGGACTGTCATTTTTCCCCCTGCTGCCCGTGTCTGACCCACATTCGCCCTGGTTGGCCAGTTTGATGAGTGGGGGAGAGAGACAATCCCTGCTTTGTCTCTGAAATCAAGGTGCTGAACGTCTTTTTCTTTAAGTTTCAGGAACGCTTAGAGAACACCGGAGAAGGTGACAGGAGAACTGGCTGCAGACATAACGGAATAATGGAACTCTAAACTACACGCAAATGGTGGTCGGAGACTCCGTCGGCAGAAGAATTGACATCAGGGTGGGGACGTGACGGGGGGGGGGCAAAGTGAACTGGGTAAACCCCCACCGTTTCCCCTAGACTGGCGCCAGTGGAGCCGTTAGACATCCCCCCCAACGGCTTCCAGCATCTCTCAGGCACCCCAGCCAACCAACTCCTGCTTTGACCCCACAGTCTGGAAGAGAGGCTGCTGGAAGAGAGTCTGTTGCACTTGGCAAGGTCCCGACTGTCCGTTCCTCTCTGCAGTCATCCCAGGAATGCACGTGTGTGTGTGGGGGGGGGGGCTTCTTAAAACTACAATTACCTCAGCAGTTTGGGATTGATGAGAAGCTAAAATGATATTTTAAAATAATATATTTCAAAGATTTAAGGAAGCAAATACATTTGAAATTCTGAACCAGTCTTTTGTGCTCTGAACAGGCCTAACTTCTGTGGACTAAATCCGTTTTCCGACCCGCCTCCCACAGCTGGCCCGTCTGCTGAACACTTGCCCCTTTATTTTCCAGGATCTGCACATGCTCACAAGCCATCAAGGTCAAGCTGGCGGAAAGAAGCGATCAAGACGTGGACATCTATAGGTCGGTCACCCAAATTTGCTTAACATTGCAGTGACGGTCTAAGCCACTGCCGACCAGGACACCTTGGCTGAAGACGCGTCCACTGGCCATCCCTGTCCATCTCAAAGTCATAAGGATTCTTATGGGATCCCGGGCTTTTCTCCAGTGTCCCTGTCTTCACAGCCCCCGCGTTTCTGGACATTTCCATGCTATGTCCGTCCTTTGAAGGTGTTCATGCAGGAATAGGTACCAGAGAACTTGTAAATTTCCTCAAGTGCATGTTGTGGCATGAAGCTGTTGAAAAGGGGCAAACGGGAAGAACAAATTAATCTAGATCATTCTGAATTTTGTACTTTGGATTTGGTCCTTAATATGGTTCATTCCACTTGGTTACCTTTTCAGAAGAACAAGCATGCGCATGGTCCAGGGCAGGTAGACAAAGGCAGTGTTGGTCCTCATGGCATCCACTGTCCTCTGTGCCACCATCTCTGGCTTCAGAGGAGGGAACAACTGGGGAAAGCTGCATGAAGACAAGACCATCATAGGTCAGAGGTCACCTCCTTGGGATATTCATAAAGCTAAGTGTGCCACAGATTAACAAATCAAATCTAAAAAATTCTTTGAGTTGCAGTTGGGTCCAGTCTCAAGTTGTTACACATTTTATCCTCTGTGTCCTGTACTCTGTCTCTAGATGCCGTAAAAACAGATGTGAACCATAGCTCACCAATAGCTTTTCTGAGATGCCTCATCTGTAAACTTAGGCCTATGTCCTCACAAATCACGTCTACTGTGAATGCAAACCCAATTCCTTCCATTCATTTAAGGTTCCCGATCCAATGCTTAGCCCATGCCCCAATCTACATTTTTGTTTTGTTTCACCATCAACCTCATTTTACATGTGAGCTATTTATAAGGCTCTTGATCACCTGGATCTGGAATGCACTAGGCTTGGCTAAGGACTGAGTTCATAACCACAGATCTACATTTGACTTGTTGGCTGTGGTTTGCTTCCGCTTCAGCTGACATTACAATGCAAAATGGAACTTATACCAAGAAAAAGTAAACAGAATCTTACCGCACTCTCATGCCTTGGAACATCTCCGTGTTGGTATGGAAGGGTAGAACAGTGGTGCAGGCCACGCCTGGACAGTCAAGCAGGCCCAACGTAAGGCTCTCCATGAAGGCCAGTGATGAGGCCTTGGAGGTGCAGTAGTCAATGGCCCCAGGAATGGAGGAGAGCGAGAGGATGGAGTTTATACAGACCACATGGCCTCTACGGAGCTCCAGCATCCGGGGCAGGAAGGCCTTCGTAGTCTGAGGATGAAGAGATTGTTGAGATAAGAGCTCCTGTACCCACAATGCCCTTCCGCCCAGAGATGGGGACCACGCCTTCAGTACAGGGAAACCCAGGTCCATCAAAGGCTTTCATTTCTTTGAAAAATGCCTCCTCTAAGCATTCAGCTCAAAGGTGGACGTTTGATCTGGTGTGAAATGCTGTAAGGCTGGGTCTCACACATATAAAAACTACAACCAGCTCTCAAGATTTTCCACATGCCTACGCGTTAAAGTCATAGTCTGGCATCGCCCCCCCCCCCCTCCACCCGCCCCCACCATCTCCTCGTATTCCCACTAAATAACGCTGAGAAAACTACAACGGCCTCAATGACCATCTGGTCACGGCGGTTAACGAAGGAAACCACTTCTTTCCATATGCGAGGCATGTCAACTCAACACGTTACCTCGCTCTCTGCCGAAAAGCAGGCCCGTTACAATGAAACGGTTTGTTTGAGAGTATGAGCTGGTTCCATCCATTTTTAAAATCTGGAATACTGTTCTGTGCTGACAACTTCTGTCTTGGCCCAAACATGCATCTCACTCATGGGAGAAATGTGATGTGATTAATTAGTGGGGCTGAGCCAACGGAATAGTTATGTAATCATAAACAGATTTATGTGACGGCAAAGACCTCGTGTGGAAACACGTCCACCTCGTGCCCAGGGAGCGAAACCAGCAGATCTGTGACTGAAGAGAAACGTACCCAGAACTGTCCCAGCGTGTTGATGTGCTGAGACTTTAACAGGGCGTCGTCGTCACTGTCAATTAAACTTTTCCCATGAACCACTGCTGCGTTATTCACCAGGATAGTAATGTCCCCAACCTGGAAAATTCAGTAAAACACTTGATACAATTTTTCCAAAGAGATTAAGCAGTTTGTTTCAGTCCTTTAAAATAATATTTTGTTGCTAGTGGTGATAATATGTTTCTTTTTCCAATTTTATTAAGGTACATCTAAGACGTAGGAGTTAAGTCAGTTAAGAGATGTCATAATTTGTTTCCACAGAAGTTTTCTCATGTTAAAATGGTTATGATTTTTTGCCATAATACTCAGATTCACCATGGACACTGTGATCTCCATACAAATACGATTACTGTCTGTTCATTCCCTAGAGTTACAATCTGGAAATGACCTTAATTTGGAACTGGAATCCATGCACGGCAACAGTGCATACCCAGTAAACGACTGTACCATCCACAATGTTGAAACAGCACAACAAATATATTTGAGATTTATTCTCAAACAGTCAGTCATGCTTGATTGTACTGAGGAGATAACTTTACTTTGGTCATTTTGATGAGAATTAAAGTCATAGATAACGCAAACAATTAACGTGCTAGGTAAACCAGTGCAATGGGCTGGTATGAACACTAGTAGATAGAAGATTCCAGAAGCCTTACCTTCTCCCGCACCACCATGGCCTGTCTGTACACCTCCTCCCTGTTGGCCACATCGCACACAAAGTAGTGACACTCTGAACCCCCCAGGGTGACCTCCTCGCAGGTCTCCTTCAGGCACTTCTCAGTGCGCCCCCACAGGATCACCTGGTGGGGTGGGGGGGGGGCAAGGGTCAGAGCACTTCATCAGAGACCATGATCAGTATGGCAAGCAGAAAATTTAGGTATGGCAGCTCAATTTACACATCTGACCACGGATGGACGCTGAGAGGAGATACAGAAGGACGGGGAGAACATTCTGCACGTTTAACTTCCTAACTTTTTTATCCGCGTTAGCAGTGGTTTGGAGCACTTGAGGGTGACTTTACAGTTATGTGAGAAGCGAAAACAAATGCTAAATTTAAGCCAATTTGCCTTCCATGGGTATGGATATGTGGCAGTGCTGTTAAATGCACATCACATTCATTGAAGTCCCTGTATCTCAGTACCACATATGTACATGATTTGAACACTGCATGGGGTAAGTGGGGGCAGTGGTAGGGCAGGTGGGTGGGGGCAGTTGTTTGCCAGTGTAGATTATTACCTTGCACAGTAATCTGGTCACATGGGGTAACAAACAATTCTGGGATTAAAGGGGACTTGGCTGAATGGATTTGGGCTGGGGGGGTCATGGGGGGTTGAGGTGAAAAGGGCATGACCCCCTATGGGGGCAAGAGGGGGAGGAAAGACTGGATGGCCGGTCAGGGAGGGGTAATGAATGCC